AGCTTTCATATGTTTTGTATCTATACCAGTCTTAGTGCTGGTTAAACCAAAATTGTTGAAATCTATTCTGCTTAGTTGAGCCACTGGCTGAAGTGTCTGGAGCCCTCAAGGAAATACACTACATGACCAGAAGTATGTGGACACCTGCTTGTCAAACATCTCATTCCAAAATCATGGGCATTAATATGGAGTTGGAGTTTGTCCCCCCTTTGCTGCTACAACAGCCTCCACTCTTCTGCCATTCAGCCACAAGAGCATTAGTGAGATTGGGCACTGATGTTGGGCGATTATGGTTGAGGTCAGGGCTCTGTGCAGGCTAGTCAAGTTCTTCCACACCGATCTCGACAAACCATTTCTGTATGGACCTCGCTTTGTGCACGGGGGCATTGTCATGCTGAAACAGGAAAGGGCCTTCCCCAAACTGTTGCCATAAAGTTGAAAGCGCAGATTCGTGTAGAATGTCATTGTATGCTGTAGGGTTAAGATTTCCCTTCACTGGAACTAAGCAGCCTAGCCCAAACCATGCTACATAGCCCCAGACCATTATTCCTCCTCCACCAAACTTTACAGTTGGCACTATGCATTGGAACAGGTAGTGTTCTCCTAGCATCCGCCAAACCCAGATTCGTCCTTAGGACTGCCAGATGGTGAAGCGTGATTCATCACTCCAGAGAACACGTTTCCACTGCTCCAGAGTCCAATGGCGGCGCGCTTTACACCACTCCAGCCGACGCTTGGCATTGCGCATGGTGATTTTAGGCTTGTGTGTAGCTGCTCGGCCATGGAAACCCATTTTATGAAGCTCCCGACAAACAGTTATTGTGCTGACGTTGCTTCCAGAGGCAATTTCAAACTCGGTAGTGAATGTTGCAACCGAGGACAGACGATTCCTAGACGTTTCCACTTCACAATAACAGCACTTACAGTTGACCGGGGCAGCTCTAGCAAGGCAGAAATGTGACAAACTGACTTGTTGGAAAGGTGGCATCCTATGACAGTGCCACGTTGAACGTCACTGAGCTCTTCAGTAAGGCCATTCTACTGCCAATGTTTGTCTATGGAGATTGCATGGCTGTGTGCTCGATTTTATACACCTGTCAGCAACGGGTGTGGCTGAAATAGCCGAATCCACTCATTTGAAGGGGTGTCCACATACTTTTGTATATATAGTGTAGCTCTTACAAGGGTAACCTTCACTCTCATTATAATGTATATACCATCAAAATATGTAATTGACTACTGAATTTCATCTGTCAATACATGTATAGTTTGTATCAGATGAGAGGTATTCCCTCTGCAGCAATATATATTTGTGTTTGGTTTATATGTATTTTCATCTATAGAGCAGTGTAAAATATACCCATATTACCATTGTGATGTTTATCCATCTGAACTGTTTATTTTTCTATTAATATTTGGCATATTATCTAGAATGAAGCAAGTCAAGACGACACATGAAGAACGTAAGTATATTACAGAAATACCAATCACTGTGACCACATTAAATGCAAATAAGAAAATAGACAAAACTGCAGTACATAGGCCTACAGTAACTATCGGTAACAACAGCTATACCAACCCCCAGGACGTGTGACATGTGGACGTGGAAGAAAGTGCACGACCTGAAACTTGGGAGTGAATATGTAATATGAGTAGTGGCAATAAGTTGTAATGACAGGTCATTTCTATAGAGTATGTTCCAGTCGCCACAGGGTTTCAGCAGAACACATTTTGAACACTATTGAAATACACTTAACTGTACCTCCTGTTGTGTAGTAGTGCAATGTTACAATGATAACCAATGACCTGCGGCATGTTGGAGATGATTCAGTTGTTTGCTGGTTGACCTGAGGACAGTGGAATCTGGCTTCCATAACAGCACTTTGTGAGCGGCGAACCTTGGTTACTGAAGGAGTGACCAGCTACTGATTGACTCTGTCCAAAATAAAGCGTGCCATTGTTCTAAAAACCAGTCCTCATATCACCAGCACACACACACTGACATTTCTGGGTCGCTGTCCTCTAAAACAGCTTCCTGTTAGTATATCATCTTATGAAATTATTGTATACATTTTCATTATATGGCTTATTTGCAGTTCTACCATTGTCAGTTAAGATTGTGTGGTAAATTTCCACAGCAAAAATAATTTAGAACAGTGTATGAGTGGTATGGGACTTGGTCAATAACCCCATTGAGTTTGTGAGAGCGCAAGCCAACTCCCTGGGAAAACCGTCACTTGTTAGCCATTAGCACCATCTATGGGTGAACCCACTATTGGCGCATTTCCACTGAGGATTTACCCGTGTTTTAACCAAAAAAACCTGACTTTTGTGGCTCCTGGAACTGCTCTAACTTGAGGCAAAGGCAAGGCCGTTGGGGCTTTTCAGGCAGCATTTACATAACAATGGCTAACTGTGAACATGGATTTACACCTTTGACGGTTAACACCTCACAAAGCAACTGTTTTGATTATGCAGAGGTTGTTGATAATGTTCTTCACAAGTCTTCACTGTCAGCCCTAGCTATGGAAACACAATAACATAAGGGTGTATACAGTAGTGGAACACTGGTGTTACAGTTGAAAAGCAGCATTGCATTATCATCATAGTATGAGGGCATATTATTATGCTTCCTAAAGCTCCATAGACTAATGATGGACCTATGAAGAACTCTACAGGTCACTTACAAATGACTGTTGGGAATTATAAACCTTTATTTTTCACTCCTTTGGAATACAAAATATTTCATTACAGAACATCCATTGAACAGGTACATTCATAATGGTTTATTACTTGTTTTATAATTCAGCACCATTGGACATTGTGTTGTAAAGCATATGCCATTGTCAAGTAGTGGCGGGGGGTCAGTTTTTGGTCAAAAAGACTGTAAAATCACCAGGAATTCAGCTAAAAATATGTTTAATTTAGGAAATAGATATATATTTTTAAAGTGATAGTGCATCAATGTAATCAAGGTATGAAATGATTGTTATTTTCAAATACAATCTCTTTTTGGGCTTAGTTGTGGTCAGAAGCTGTGATGGTGATCTCCTCCCATTCACACTCCTGCTCTGAGAGACTTAGGAAGGTGTCATAGTCAATGACATATTTATTTTTACAAATTATTATTTTAATTTTCCAAGGCAAGGCCAATAGCTCCGACAAAAATCGTCCTATGGCTTAATCTAGTTGCCTACCCCTGTTGTAGATGCTGTGAGCCAAGGATCTTTGAAGCAGTAAGTGATTCCCTCCCAGTCAAATTAAACAACAACCATGTGTCTACAGAAAAACAAAGCATAGTACAATATAAAAGCAGTTTATGTTTTATTTGGTAAAATGTTATATATTTCAACACTAAATTCCTTTTCACTCAAGTTTTTAAAAATCTAAACATTGACATGGATCCAGAATGAATTGTAACAAAACATTCTAACATATTGCTCAATATACCCAACCTTTATTCCCCCAACCAGATTTAGCTGACAGCACAAAACACCAACTAAACACAATCAATGAAAAATATACCACATCACAAATGCTAACCCCACCTAACCCACTTTCTATCTTCCTTAACCATAACAAATGTGCCACATCACATAGGCATAGTCTACCCCAATCTACTAAACACCCTCTTTTCTCTATATGTGTGTTTTATTATTAGAACTGTCAGTTGGAGCTAAAGGTGGTGGAGGAAGAAGTTGTGAAGGCGCTGTAGCTGGAGGAGTAATCCACACTGCCCCTGCGAGAGCCGCTCCTAGACCCTGTACGAGAGGTGGCCAGTGAGCCAGCCCTGGACCCCGAACGGGAGCCTGGGTTGGACACGTTGTAGGGGCTACTAATGCCCTTGGTGGACATGGAGGAGGCCTGGAGCATCTTCATGCCTTTGCCTTCCTCCACCATGCAGCTGTCCATGGCCTCCTTGTAGGAGATCTTCAGCTTGGTCTTGGGGCAGGTCAGGTTCTTGGTGTGGCTCCGTGTGTCCTGGAGCTTCTGGGCCCCACGACCGTCCAGCCAGCCTCGTCGGATGGCCTCCTCGATGGAGGTCTTCTGGCCCGTACTGGGCTCCAGCAGACCTCCTGTCAGGTATTGGAACTCCAGGAACCTCTGTCCGGCCTCATAAGGCAGCCATTTCTCCTTCATGGCCTCGGCCGCAGACATCTTCCTCTTGGTCTTCACGTCCTCGAAGCCCATGAAGGCCTTCTGCGCTGGCTTCAGCTTGGCGGCCATGTCATCGTCAATGATGCTCTGGTGCACGGCATCTTGCAGGTTGAGCCTCTGGCCATTGGTGGGGTTGATGATGCCTCCAGTACAGGCCTGGGCCTCTAGCAGCCTCTGAGCTGTAATGGTATCCACTAAGCCCCTCCGTAGAGCCTCCGGAATGGTGATCTTTTCCATCGTCTCAGTGTCAAAGATGGCCGCAACAGGGCTCCCTTCGTCAAACTCCTCTGGCGGGGAGAAGATGATGGAGATGCTGTTGAAGCGCTTGCGGACGGTGGGGGAAGAGAGGCAGGCCTGGGGGGGGCTGCTGCAGGCGGCCACGTCCTCCATGTTTCTGGTGGTCATTGTCAACTCGCTGAGGTTGCTATTGCTGGTGATGAGGTCAGCAAACTGAGGGAGAGTCAGGGTTCCTGAGCGGTACTGCTCCAGGGAGGTCTGGTCGATGATGCCGCGGTCCAGGGAGTCCTGGATGTCATACTGGGTGCCTGTCTTCCTGTCCACCACCACCAGACGGGCTGAACCATCAGAAGCTGTGATGGTGATCTCCTCCCATTCACACTCCTGCTCTGAGAGACTTAGGAAGGTGTCATAGTCAATGAGCTCCTTATTGTAGGCTTCCCTCACGGTCATCTCCATTCCAGTGTCAGGGTCCACGATCACTACCCTCCTCTTACGGAGGACGGTATTCTGGCTGCTCTGCTGAACCGTCTGCTGGGGCTTGGTCTTGTCCCTCAGGGGCAGGAGGACCAGGCCAGTTTTTGGGTCTGTGATGCACCTCTCCTTCAGCTGCAGGTAGGTCAGGTTCTCTTGGGTGTTGGGGTCAAAGAAGCCCTTGGTGTCATCTCCTTCGTAGGTCAGGATCTCATTCATCTCCTTGTCGAAGTAGCCCCTCTTGTAGGCAATGTCTACATCGATACGGTGGCTCTCCTTGGGGTCGATGATGCCACCGCTGGCTATCTGAGCCTCTAGCAGCCTAATCCCATGGCCCTTCTCAATCAGATCCTTCTCGATGGCTTGGAAGAGGGAGATGGTCTTGCCAGTGTGTGGGTCTTTGTATCCAGTGACAGCCCTCTCTGCAGACATCAGCTTGTCCTTGAACTCTTTGCCCACAAGGCCTCTCTTCCAGGCCTCATCCACAGTCAGGCAGACATTGTTGACAGGGTCGATCATGAAGCCGGAGGCAGCCTGGGCTTCCAGAAGCTCCAGGGTGGTTCCTCGTCTGAGCAGACCATCCTTCATGGCCTGGTAGATGGTCATTGTCCTGTTGTTGGCTTCATCATAGATCCCTGCGATGCAGTTAGAACCATGAAGGTAGTTCTTGAGCTTGTCCTCGATGTCCTTGCTGCTGAGCTTGCCCTGGTTCAGCTTCTGCACATCCATCTCAGACAGCAAGTTGGACTTGATCAGCTCTGTGACGGACACCTCTCCCCTGAGGCCCTGCACGGTCATGGGCTTTTCCGGGGCTGGGAGGAGCAGCATGCCAGAGGCGGGCTCAATCCTACACTTCAACATTAGGTCACTATAGCTAATCTTCTTCTCAGTGATTGGGTCCAGATAGCAGGCGGGCTTCTTGTTCAGAGCCCTGTAGAGGTCTTCGTCAATCAGGTTGCGGTCAAGGGCAAGGTCTTTGGGCAGGAATACACTCAGAACCGGGTCCAGGATTCCTCCAACAGACTCCTGGGCCTGGAGCAACCGGAGGGCTGTCTCCTTGTCCAGACGATTCAGCTTCAGAGCCTGTCCAATGGACAGCAGCTTGCCGGTGTATGGGTCTTTGAAGCCTGCACTGGCTGCTTCAGCTGTCATGAGGGCGTCTCTATTGTCTGTGTCCACCACTCCTCTGGAGGAGGCAGCATCAACAGACATCTTCTCGTTAAACTTGGGGTCCATGATGTGGCCGGTGGCAGCTTGGGCCTCCAGTAGCATTAGGGCACTCTCTTTGCTCAGAAGGTTCTTGGTCTTGGCTTCAGTTATGGACATCCTGTCCTGGGGGCCTCTGACCATTCCTGCAATGGCACCTGTTCCCTTGAGGCTAAGCTGGATGTCGACGGCCACATCCTCCACGGTCCTCTTTCCCTTCAGCAGCTGCTCCAGGGTGGCCTTGCTGATAATACCGCAGTCACACAGCTGGTGGGCGGTGACCTTACGGCGAACCCCATCGAACACCAGTTTAGACGGGTCCACAGTGACCACCTTCTCGTCTGTCTGGGTCTGGATGCTCATGGAGTCAGGTCTCTGCTGAAGCCTCCTCAACTCCCTCTCCAGGGAGTCTCTCTTCAGGGCCAGGTCTGACACCTCCCTCTCTGAGCTCTGCAGCCTGCCTTTATACCTCTCCTCCACGGTCCTCAGCTCCACCATCATACGCTCCAACTCGCTCTTCAGGGAGAGCCTCTCCCTCTCCATCTTGTCCTTGTCCGAGTCACCCTGCCTCATCTGGCGCTCCTTCAGTTCGTACTGGCTCTTCCAGTAGGTGAAGTCCTTTTGCATCTTGTCTCTTTCTTCCTGGAGACGCTGTTTGTTGCGCAGCTCAGTCTCCAGGGAGATCTTGATGCGATTCAGCTCCTCTTCATAGTGACCCTGGCGGGTCTTGTCCTGTTCCAGCTGCTTCAACTTGATCAGAAGGGCGTCCCTATCAGACAGGATTTCAGTGTAGTGGGTCTGAGACTGCTGCACCATCATGGAGGTCTGGAAGGGAAAGAGAGAATAAGACATATTGGTCAACACACTCCCATATTAAAAATACCTGAATGGATAAAGACTGTATAAATCATTAGTTACACATTCCTTTCATATTAGTAATTTTGAAAAGTAGGTAACACTGTGGTCATGCGGCTTGCCCTCTCCACTTCTGGTAAAAACATTGAAGAAAAAAACATGAACACTAATGTAAGCAAAGACATATATAATGCACATTTCCAGCAATCAGCGACTGTATTGCTGTGATATACTGTAGATATCGGTGAGTGAGTCCAGTGCAAACCATGGAAGCAGTCAGGTGGTGAACATTGGTCCTCTGAGAAAATTATTAAATAATTTAGCCAGTTGATTTAGGAATTATTCATAATTAATAGTTACTAATTGTTAATGACAATACAATTGTTATTTCAGTGAACAAAAGCAAACCCATTATCTCAATGAAAAGCTGTAGAAATGACCAAACATGGTAACCTTTATTTTAAGGATCCGTAATAAACCAAGGCATTTATATAAAGTGTGTGTTCACCATTTATTAATCATTACTCCCACATTTTAAAACCATTTACTAATCATTGGTAAAGTATGTTTGCAGCACCTAATCTAAAGTGAGCGCTATTTCTGCTTTATAAATACTTTATAAATGTTTTGAGTGACCAGTGTTATTTCTCACAAAAATATGGGCATGCCATTGGTAGAAAATCCAGCAGTACCTAGTAAAAGAATAAGCACACAACACAGGATATTTAAGGAAATATACACTGAGTGTACAACACATTCCTAATACTGAGTTGCACCCCCTTTTGCCCTTAGAACAGCCACAATTAGTCGGGGACTACAAGGTGTTGAAAGCGTTCCGAAGGGATGCTGGCTCATGTTGACTCCAATGCTTCCCAAAGTTGTGTCAAGTTGGCTGGATGTCCTTTGGGCGGTGGAACATTCTTGATACACACGGGAAACTGTTGAGCGTGAAAAACCCAGTAGCGTTGCGGTTCTTGACACACTCAAACTGATGCGCCTGGCACCTACTACCATACCCCGTTCAAAGGCACTTAAATATTTTGTCTTGCCCATTCACCCTCTGAATGGCACACATACACAATCCATGTCTCAATTGTCTCAAGGCTTAACAATCCTTCTTTAACCTGTCTCCTCCCCTTCATCTACACTGATTGAAGTGGATTTAACAGGTGGCATCAATTAGGGATCATCGCTTTCACAGTCTATGTCATGGAAAGAGCAGGTGTTCCTAATGTTTTGTGCATGTGTTGTGTATATAAATGTGTGAATTTCTAGCTTACTAACATTTACAAATGTGGGAGTAATGATTAATAAATGGTGAGCAAACTGTTTATAAATGCCTTATTAATGTTTTATAAATGCCTTATAAATGTTTTATTACACACCCTTAACATAAAGTGTTACCCAAAACCTTTGTGGTTCAGAATCAGAATCATAGAAAACATTGAATCATCATATACAGTGGGGTCCAAAATGATTCGATCCCTTGATAAAGATCAGCAAAAAATACTATATAAAATAAATAATACCAATACTAAGCTATAGTGTATGCAATATTCTTTTTTAATGCTATTATTTTATACTAATACAATTTCTAAGAGAAAGAGATTTTGTTTTTCAAGTAATTAAAAATAAATATTGGTTCCCCTGTTTTCAATACTCCAGCACCCTCTCCCCTGCAAGGATAACGACACTGAGCATTTTTCTAAAATGTTTTATGAGATTGGAGAACACATTTGGACCATTCCTCCAGACCATTCCTCCACACAGAATCTTTCCAGATCTTTGATATCCTTCATCTGCGCTTATGGACTGCTCTCTTCAATTCAAACCGCAGGTTTTCAATGGGATCAAGTCCGGAGACTGAGATGTCCATAGCAACATTTTGATTTTGTGGTCAATTAACCATTTCTTTACATTAAGGATGAGGTATTTTCTGCATATGCATTGTTCTTTCGAAGGCCAAAACCACCGCTGGGGTGCATGGCCAAAGATGTCTATTTTCGTGTCATATGACCATAGCGCCGGTTCCAATCCAAGCGCAAATGGCGATTAGCAAACTCCAGGTAGTGCTATGGTCAGATTACATGAAAATAGAGGTATTTGGCCCTTGTTAAGGTCAACGGCATTATGAACTTTACCAAGTACCAGGACATTTTAGCAAAAAACCTGGTTGCCTCTGCCAGGGGGCTGAAACTAGACCGCAAGTGAATCTTCCAGCAAGACAATAACCTCAAGCACACATCAAAATCCACAAAATAAATGTTAATTGATCACAAAATCAACAAGTACAGTGGGGAGAACAAGTATTTGATACACTGCCGATTTTGCAGGTTAATGTTAATTTTTATCATAGGTACACTTCAACTGTGAGAGACGGAATCTAAAACAAAAATCCAGAAAATCACATTGTATGATTTTTAAGTAATTAATTTGCATTTTATTGCATGACATAATTATTTGATCACCTACCAACCAGTAAGAATTCCAGCTCTCACAGACCTGTTAGTTTTTCTTTAAGAAGCCCTCCTGTTCTCCACTCATTACCTGTATTAACTGCACCTGTTTGAACTCGTTACCTGTATAAATGACACCTGTCCACACACTCAATCAAACAGACTCCAACCTCTCCACAATGGCCAAGACCAGAGAGCTGTGTAAGGACATCAGGGATAACATTGTAGACCTGCACAAGGCTGGGATGGGCTACAGGACAATAGGCAAGCAGCTTGGTGAGAAGGTAACAACTGTTGGCGCAATTATTAGAAAATGGAAGAAGTTCAAGATGACGGTCAATCACCCTCGGTCTGGGGCTCCATGCAAGATCTCACCTCGTGGGGCATCAATGATCATGAGGAAGGTGAGGGATCAGCCCAGAACTACACGGCAGGACCTGTTCAATGACCTGAAGAGAGCTGGGACCACAGTCTCAAAGAAAACCATTAGTAACACACTACGCCGTCATGGATTAAAATCCTGCAGCGCACGCAAGGTCCCCCTGCTCAAGCCAGCGCATGTCCAGGCCCGTCTGAAGTTTGCCAATGACCATCTGGATGATCCAGAGGAGGAATGGGAGAAGGTCATGTGGTCTGATGAGACAAAAATAGAGCTTTTTGGTCTAAACTCCACTCGCCGTGTTTGGAGGAAGAAGAAGGATGAGTACAACCCCAAGAACACCATCCCAACCGTGAAGCTTGGAGGTGGAAACATCATTCTTTGGGGATGCTTTTCTGCAAAGGGGACAGGACGACTGCACCGTATTGAGGGGAGGATGGATGGGGCCATGTATCGCGAGATCTTGGCCAACAACCTCCTTCCCTCAGTAAGAGCATTGAAGATGGGTCGTGGCTGGGTCTTCCAGCATGACAACGACCCGAAACACACAGCCTGGGCAACTAAGGAGTGGCTCTGTAAGAAGCATCTCAAGGTCCTGGAGTGGCCTAGCCAGTCTCCAGACCTGAACCCAATAGAAAATCTTTGGAGGGAGCTGAAAGTCCGTATTGCCCAGCGACAGCCCCGAAACCTGAAGGATCTGGAGAAGGTCTGTATGGAGGAGTGGGCCAAAATCCCTTCTGCAGTGTGTGCAAACCTGGTCAAGACCTACAGGAAACGTATGATCTCTGTAATTGCAAACAAAGGTTTCTGTACCAAATATTAAGTTATGCTTTTCTGATGTATCAAATACTTATGTCATGCAATAAAATGCAAATTAATTACTTAAAAATCATACAATGTGATTTTCTGGATTTTTGTTTTAGATTCCGTCTCTCACAGTTGAAGTGTACCTATGATACAAAATTACAGACCTCTACATGCTTTGTAAGTAGGAAAACCTGCAAAATCGGCAGTGTATCAAATACTTGTTCTCCCCACTGTATATCAAGGATCTGGAAATATTCTGTATGGAGGAATGGTCTAAGATCCCTCCCAATGTGTTCTCTAATCTCATAAAACATTTTAGAAAAAGGCTCAGTGTCGTTATCCTCGCAAGGGGTAGGGGGCTGGAGTATTGAAAACATGTGATCCAATAATTTTTACCCCTATCTTTTTTTAGATTTTTTCATTACTTCTTGTTAAATAAAATATATTTCTCTGAACAATTGTATTAGTATAATTTTTTTTAGCATAAAACATAGCTCAGTATTTGTATTATTTATTATATTTTGTATTAATCTTTATTAAGGGATCCAATAAGTTTAGACCCCACTGTAAATTATTTGAACTTAATCCTCCCAGTGCCACTCATTCATTCATGCAGGGTTGTTGGAATTATTTGGAATTGACCCCTCAGATCAATCAAAATACCTCTATGGATTGCTTTTGGACTTTGTCCAAATCCAACTTTAGCTTTTCCCTCTCCTTGGTCAGGTCCTTGATGAGGGCTTGGAGTTCCAGTGTCATCTTGCTGCTGCTCTGGAGCTGGACATGCAGGGATGAGATCTGGGCTTGGCTCTCTCCATCCACACTATCTCTGTTTAGTTTCAGTTGCTCTTTCTCCTGCTTCACTCCTCTCAGTTCCTCCTCCAGCCTCAGCCTCTCCTTGGTCAGCTTCTGAGTAAGGCTCTGGAGTTTCTCAATCTCTGTGGTGGCTTCATTGAGCAGCCGGCTCTTCTCCTCAATGGTTTTGTAGAGGCTCTCAATGCGGATATTGACCTCACGGACCTTCCCCTGCTCTTGGGAGAGTTGCTGTTGGAGAGCCTTTAACTCTGTAGATGCCTGAGCCAGGTGCTCCGTTGTGGCCTTGTGCTCCTGCAGGCTCTTGTCCAGAGCCTCCTGGAGAGCCCTGAGCTCCTTTTCGTACTTCCTCCCTGAGGTGGACACCTCTTCCTGCCTGGCCCTGAGGGTGTTGATGGTGGTGGTGTGTTCTCTGCAGCTCTGGGTCATCTTCTCCAGCTCAGACTCAATCCTCTTCCTGCGGGTGAACTCATCCTGGGTGGTTTTCTTCTGCTTCTCCATCTCCACTTCTAGACCGTCCACCATGGCCTGTAGGTCCCGGATGCGGCTCTGCAGCCTGGTAGCAGTTGTCTCAGCCTTGGTCCTCTCGTTGGTCTGCTTTTCCAGCTCCACTCGGACCAATTGGATCTCCTGCTCTGAGATCTTGAGCTTGTTGATGACCTCCCGAGAGGTGGCATTCCTGGTCTGCAGCTCAGTGTAGGACTGCCTGAGCTTGGTGACCTCAATCTCCAGTGCACTCCTCCTCTTGCCCTCCTCCTCCAGGTTGTGTGTGAGAAGACTGATCTGCCTGCTCTTCTCCTGGCTGCTCCTGGTGGCCTCGGCCAGCGCCTCCTTCTGCCTCAGCTCCTCCTCTCCTCTCTGGGTGACCACAGTCTGGAGCTGTATCTCCAGCTCTCTCCTCCTCCTCGACTCCTCCGTCCCTGTAGACCTCTGCTGATGGGCCTCATCCTCTGCCTTCCTCCTCATCTCCTCAGTCTGAGTCACAGACAGTCTCAACCTCCTCAACTCCTCTTCTAGATCCCTTTTATCTGCTTCCAGTCCCTCACACTGCAGTTTGAGCTCGGCCGTGTCCTCCTGTTTCTGCTGAGAAGCCTTGAGGATGGTGGTCTTGGTGACGTGGATCTCCGACTCATAGGTTTGCTTAAGGTTACTCATCTCCTGGTTGCACTGGGTTCTTACCTTAGAGATTTCCTGCTCTGCCCCACGCCTCCTCGTGGCCTCCTCTTCCAGCTGCATCCTCAGCCTCTCCAGCTCGCGCTCCTTGTCCTTCACTGCCTTCTCCAAGTCGATCTTGGACCAGTTGAGCTCGTCCAGCTCCTTCTGGCGCCGGCGCACGGCCGCCTCGTACTCTTCCTGCTGGCTTGTATAGCGCTCCTCGGCCAGCCTCTTCTTCCTCTTCTCCTCGTCCAACTGGTAGGTGAGACGGGCCAACTTGTCGTTGAGCTCAGTCAGCTGGCTGCTGGTGGTGTCCAGGCTCTCCCTGGCCACGCTGGCCTGCACGGCTGTGGTCCTCTTCACCTCCTCCATGGAGATGAGCTGTTCTTTAGACTGGGTGAGCTCCAGCTTGTAGCGGGACAGGGCGTCCTCTAAGGAACGGTTCTTCTGGCTGCGGTCCCCGATGTCCTCCTTTAGACGACGAAGCTCCTCCTCCAGCATCTCAATCTTGGTGTTCCTAATCTGAGGGTGGGAAATAGGAGGGTCGCATTGAGATGGTAGTTGACCATAACAACTGATCTAGGATCAGATTACCCTAACCCAATCGTAACCAGGGAAAGTCATATCACTAGAAATTAATATTCTACGGTCTTATTAGGAGGGAACACATATGCTACATATCGCAAACTCATTATATATATTTGTATGTGCCTTCACGCCCTTACCTTCAGTTCCTCCATGTTCTTGAGCATCTCCCCCAGGAACTTGTAATAGTCACTGGAGCGGGTCAGGAGCTCTATGTAGCGAGACTGGAGGTCAGCACCCTAGTGGGATTACAGTTAGAGTTTATAGATAAACAAGCAGACATACATTATTAGTGTGAAAACATAAAAAACAGCCACTACAACAGAGTTAATTGGAAAGGTTATTTGCCAGCATTTAGGATAATTTTTTAATAGAGCCAAATAGAAATCTAGCCAAAAAACAAGGATTACCACATTCAGATTAACATAATGGTAATGACTGACATGACAGGGCTTATGCCACCTCAGGCCTCAGGATCCCATTTACCCACATAAGCAGGGTAAAGACCAGGCCCTGTATTGATAAAACGTCTGTCCATATAACCATATTCATTATGCTCTAAAAAGCTAAACTGATCCTATTCTGAGACGCTTTATGAATACAGCCCTGACATATTTCTAACACTGTCTACTGCCCCCTGTTGGACAGGCTGCTCAATTACCTCCTGTCTGACCACAGTGGCAGGGGACTGGAGCATGGTTCTCTTGATAGGGATGTTCAACAGGGTCTCCAGTCCTGCACTGTAGGAGGCCAGCTGCAGCTCATAGTCCTGGAATGAAGTAGCACAACGTGTGAACACAGGCATTTAGCATTTGCATTGTACATGCTACAGTATGTAAGGGTTTTAGGTGCTGATGTGGTATTCAAACTGGTAAGATACTTTCAGTGACAACCAAATTGAAGGTGTTGAGAGAATGACAGGTTTTGAAAGAATGGCATTCACCTTGATGGAGGCAGAGCAGGTGTCCGCATCCTTCTGTACATCCTCCACCTTTTCCTTCTTCCCTTTGATCTCACTGTGCAGCACCTGATAGATTCATGAGTGCATTAGAATATATCAATCATACCTGAAACAACCAGTCAGTCTCTGTACTGTACAGAATTGTACAACAACATTACAAATATATATTTCTGGGATGGCTGTGCAGTGGCCTACCTTCTGTTGGTTGAGGTGCTCCATGAGGACCTGGATGTTGCTAAACTTGGCTGTCTGCAGGGTGTCCTGGCGCTGTCTAGCGTTGTCTATCCACTGGTCCACCACTCCGCTGCTCTGCTGGAAATGTCTCAGCTGTTTCTCCTGCTTCTCCAGGTCCCACACTCTGATGAGAGAGGGATGTTATTATGCCTCAGGAATAGCCTGACAGAAAACCTGAGGACGGCCGAAACTATGGACATATTTAAAAGAGATCTTAAAACACACCTTTTTAGATTTGCTTTTCCTTAGGGTGCGTTTTAGTCATTCAGTTTTTATTGTTATTCTTTAGTTTTTATCATCTTATGTTTGTTGTGTAGTAAATATTGGACATTTTATTTTTCATCGTTTTTTATTAGTTTTTTCCTGTGAAGCACATTGCATTGCATTCCATGTCTGAAATGTGCTGTATAAATCAAGCTTGATTTGATTTGATTTAATGGAGAAAAGGAGGGCGATATAGAGGGAGAAGAGAAAGAGGAACAGTTAGTCCCAATAGATAGTTAGGTCAATATATAGTTAGGTCAATAGATAGTTAGGTCAATAGATAGTTGGGTCAATATATAGTTGGGTCAATAGATAGTTGGGTCAATAGATAGTTAGGTCAATAGATAGTTGGGTCAATAGATAGTTAGGTCAATAGATAGTTAGGTCAATAGATAGTTGGGTCAATAGATAGTTAGGTCAATAGATAGTTAGGTCAATAGATAGTTGGGTCAATATATAGTTGGGTCAATAGATAGTTGGGTCAATAGATAGTTGGGTCAATAGATAGTTAGGTCAATAGATAGTTGGGTCAATAGATAGTTGGGTCAATAGATAGTTGGGTCAATAGATAGTTGGGTCAATAGATAGTTAGGTCAATAGATAGTTGGGTCAATAGATAGTTGGGTCAATAGATAGTTGGGTCAATAGATAGTTAGGGCGATAGATAGTTGGGTCAATAGATAGTTAGGTCAATAGATAGTTGGGTCAATAGATAGTTGGGTCAATAGATAGTTAGGTCAATAGATAGTTAGGTCAATAGATAGTTGGGTCAATAGATGTTGGGTCAATAGATAGTTGGGTCAATAGATAGTTGGGTCAATACATAGTTAGGTCAATAGATAGTTGGGTCAAGGAGATAGTTGGGTCAATAGATAGTTGGGTCAATAGATAGTTGGGTCAATAGATAGTTAGGTCAATAGATAGTTGGGTCGATAGGTAGATGGGTCAATAGATAGTTAGGTCAATAGATAGTTGGGTCAATAGATAGTTGGGTCAATAGATAGTTTGGTCAATAGATAGTTAGGTCAATAGTTAGGTCAATAGATAGTTGGGTCGATAGATAGTTGGGTCAATAGATAGTTGGGTCAATAGATAGTTGGGTCAATAGATAGTTGGGTCAATAGATAGTTAGGTCAATAGATAGTTGGGTCGATAGGTAGTTGGGTCAATAGATAGTTGGGTCAATAGATAGTTAGGTCAATAGATAGTTAGGTCAATAGATAGTTAGGTCAATAGATAGTTGGGTCAATAGATAGTTAGGTCAATAGATAGTTGGGGTCAATACATAGTTAGGTCAATAGTTAGGTCAATAGATAGTTAGGTCAATAGATAGTTGGGTCAAATAGGATAGTTAGGGTCAATAGGTTAGGTCAATAGATAGTTGGGTCAATATATAGTTGGGTCAATCGATAGTTGGGGTCAAATAGATAGTTAGGTCCAATAGTTAGGTAAATAGATAGTTGGGTCAATATATTAGTTAGGTCAATAGATAGTTGGGTCGATAGCTAGTTGGGGTCAACTAGATAGTTAGGTCAATAGATAGCTTGGGTCAATATATAGTTGGGTCAATAGATAGTTGGGTCAATAGAATAGTTAGGTTCAATAGATAGGTTGGTGGTCATTAGACTAGTCTAGGTCAATAGTTAGGTCAATAGATGGTGGGTCAATTATATAGTTGGAGTCAAATAGATAGTTAGGTCAATAGTTAGGTCAATAGATAGTTGGGTCAATATATAGTTTGGGTCGATAGGTAGTTGGTCAATAGTAGTTGGGTCAATAGATAGTTAGGTCAATAGATAGTTGGGTCATGATAGTTGGGTCATAGATAGTTGGGTCAATAGATAGTTAGGTCAATAGTTAGGTCAATAGATAGTTGGGTCATATATAGTTAGGTCAATAGTTAGGTCAATAGATAGTTGGGTCAATATATAGTTGGGTCAATAGATAGTTAGGTCAATAGATAGTTGGGTCAATAGATAGTTAGGTCAATAGATAGTTGGGTCGATAGGTAGTTGGGTCAATAGATAGTTAGGTCAATAGATAGTTAGGTCAATAGATAGTTGGGTCAATAGATAGTTAGGTCGATAGATAGTTGGGTCAATAGATAGTTAGGTCAATAGATAGTTGGGTTAATAGATAGTTAGGTCAATAGATAGTTGGGTCGATAGGTAGTTGGGTCAATAGATAGTTGGGTCAATAGATAGTTAGGTCAATAGATAGTTGGGTCAATAGATAGTTGGGACAATAGATAGTTGGGTCAATAGATAGTAGGTCAATAATAGTTGGGTCAATAGATAGTTGGGACAATAGATAGTTGGGTCAATAGATAGTTAGGTCAATAGTTAGGTCAATAGATAGTTGGGTCAATAGATAGTTGGGTCAATAGATAGTTAGGTCAATAGTTAGGTCAATAGATAGTTGGGTCAATACATAGTTGGGTCAATAGATAGTTAGGTCAATAGATAGTTGGGTCAATAGATAGTTGGGTCAATAGATAGTTTGGTCAATAGATAGTTAGGTCAATAGTTAGGTCAATAGATAGTTGGGTCGATAGATAGTTGGGTCAATAGATAGTTGGGTCAATAGATAGTTGGGTCAATAGATAGTTGGGTCAATAGATAGTTAGTCATAGATATTTTGGTCGATGGGTAGTTTGGGTCAATAGATAGTTGGGTAAATAGATAGTTAGGTCATAGATAGTTAGGTCAATAGATAGTTAGGTCAATAGATATTTGGGTCAATAGATAGTTAGGTCGATAGATAGTTGGGTCAATAGATAGTTAGGTCAATAGATAGTTGGGTCAATAGATAGTTAGGTCAATAGATAGTTGGGTCGATAGGTAGTTGGGTCAATAGATAGTTAGGTCAATAGTTAGGTCAATAGATAGTTGGGTCAATAGATAGTTGGGTCAATAGATAGTTAGGTCAATAGATAGTTAGGTCAATAGATAGTTGGGTCAATACATAGTTAGGTCAATAGTTAGGTCAATAGATAGTTAGGTCAATAGATAGTTGGGTCAATAGATAGTTAGGTCAATAGTTAGGTCAATAGATAGTTGGGTCAATATATAGTTGGGTCAATAGATAGTTAGGTCAACAGATAGTTGGGTCAATAGATAGTTAGGTCAATAGATAGGTCAATAGATAGTTAGGTCAATAGAGTTGCTGGATACTAGCAAAAATGATCCACTACGAGGGCATAGAGGCGATTTTTATGAAACATCAGAACTGAATATGAATCATTGCATGGGTATTGAAGAGTTTGTGAGAGTGTATGTGAGAAGTGTATGTTTAGAGATCTAAGGGTCCTCACCTGCTGTCGATCTGGGTCTGGATGCGTCGCCAGCGGTCAGACATCTGGGTCACCAGGTCAGCATACTTGGACAGGTCCACATCACACTTGTGTAAGGAGGCTGAGATCTGACTGTTCACGTGTACTGCATTGGCCAGGTCACTCTCCATGGCCTTCAGAAGGTCTCTCTTATGGTCCAGGTCAGACTTCATTTGCTGTAGTGGAAAGACAACAGGCAATGCTCAAGACACACTATTGGACACTGATACTAATCTTGGCAAAACATACTCCCTCTCACAGTTCTACTACACTAATGCACACTAGAATATTGAATTGCAAAAGACCACATAAAAAGTTCCGAAGCAATATATACATATATTATTTGGCAATATTACACAGCTCACAATCAGAATTGATTGACAGATACATTAACTAATTGACAGATATAAATTGACAGCAATGGTGATTGATGGTGTGTCTGACCTTGAGTGTGGCCCTGTAGCGCTCCAACTCGTTGAGATCCAGGGAGGTGGTCTCCTTCTCAGTCAGACGGGCCTCGTGGACCTTGATGACATCCTCAGCCTGGACGAGGCTCTGGAACAAGTTCTGCAGATATGACAGTCTACCAGGGAACACATACACACAGAGACCACGTTACAACACCATCTCAATAAACAAGACATTTCAACAGTGAAATATCAAACAACACCACAACAAACTATAACCATTTCACACAGGTGAAACATACCCTCAATAAACATTTGCTAACCAGTTCGTTTTCTCAACCACTTCTTAACATAGGAAGAAGACTAGAAGGTAGAAGCTCCTGTGAGAGCCGTACCTCTGGAGGTAGGCAGAGGATAGCCCCTGCAGATCTCCCAGTTTCTGGTTGAGGAGGTCCAGCTCTTTCCTGAGGAACTTGGCCTGCTCCGAGTCTGCTGCTGTCCCCTCCAGCTGCCTCACCACCCTCTCCCTCAGCCTCAGGTACTCATCACGCACACCGTCCAGGTCATGGTGTATGCCCTGAGAATCAGGAACAAGGGTTTAGTCCATGTAGAATAGGTTGCATTTAAGATTATCAACATTATTCAATGAGAAAGACACAGTGGCCATCTACTGGCTATGTTTGAAAACTTTAAATGAATCCAGTATTCCAAAACACAATTGGATAGGATTGACCACACAGGTTCCCTTACATTGTTTTCACCTATCCAGTCATGCTATCTCAGATATTACATCAAAGACAGGAGGAAGAAATGCAAAGTTTTATGTTTTTCATAGGCCCATTTCCTCTATTGAATCTCTGGTGTAGCTGCAGTTGCATACCTCCAGATTCAGGAGGCGCTGTGAGCACTCCTGCACACTGTTCTCCCCCAGGGGAACATGGAGGTGGTGGCTGAGGCCTGATTCAGCCAGCTCCAGCCTGCGTCTGAGGGCGTGGAGGTCACTGAGCAGGGTCAGGCTCAGGGTAGAGCCCTGGGTGGAGGTGCTGGTCTTAGTCACCGATGTCTTGGTGATCTTGGTGGTCTCAGCTTTGATGGGCGGCTCAGGCTGGACCACCGGCTTGACCACCTCCACTTTGGATTGATCTGTGAAATGAAATGGAACCAATTTGAATTTAGTGGAATTGAGTAGCAATACGTATTCATATTATAACTGATATCCAACATAATCTGAGTGATTTCTTGGCAAACATCTGTAGCAATTGGGGTCACAGTATCCACTGGTTATTCAATTAATTCCCTTAACCTTCCTGTCTCTAATAATTCAGTTGAACTGATGTAGTTTGTACTGTAGACAGGGAAGGCGTTAAGCCATCTAAGAAGCTCCACTGGGTAGACTAGGCACCCTAGGACTCACTGTATGTAGGCAGCCCTATGACCAGTGTGTCATAGTGGGTCTGGGCTCCAGTATACTGGCCCTCCATCCTCTTCTTCTCATCCTCTCCAAACATCTCAGAGCCGTGGCTGTTGCGGAGGAACTCCTGGTAGTGAGTCTCCAGACTCTTAATGATGTTACGGTACTCCTCAGGACGCATCTGGGACAGCTAGAAAAGAGAGCGATGGAGAGGAAGGAAGAGTGAGATTTACAACTATTGTGGGCTAAGAGGGCTACTCTTAAAGACGGCCAAGGGGAGAGAGAGTGCTCATTAAACATCTACTTACTTCTTGTTGTGGATTAAAAATATAGAGATGTTAGAGTTAAACAATGTCTAAAACACAAATACAACGTTAAATATCTCCAAATGGTAATGTATTGCCACCTAAAACCTTTGTTCCTTGTTTAAATTGTGAGGGTATCTCTATTGATTTGTGTGACAGATTTTCTGCAGTGTAAATCATAGTCTTGTTTAAGGCCTTACCATGGTGAGGGTGAGGGAGTTGATATGGTTGATGTCTTTGATACAGTACTGCCAGGAGATGAGGCTCTTGATGTTGATGTAGAGCTGATTCCAGATGCCCATGATGGCCTCATAGTACTGTTCATTCCTGCAATACACAAAATAAAATCAGTTACTAATCTGTAGTGTGTCATAACAGTGTAAAGTCAGTTCATATATTCTGACACCAGATTTTATGAAATTATTAGTATGTACTGTCATTTCATTTTCATGGCACTGTTATTTAGCCCATTGAAATGGCAGTAATGTCATAGAGCCAGGCAGTGTGGTTGTCGAGGGGGTCTTACTTGTTGGCCATTCCGATGCTGAGGGGGTTGGGCGGGGGGATGAGGAGGCACACAGAGGGGATCAGCATGTCCAGACCTCCAGGACCGGTCACGTGCCACTTACTGCGCTGGGAGTTGTCCTTCAGGATGCCCTCGTCCCCCTTTAAGATCCCTTTCTGTAGGACACACAGAACACATGCAAAACAGTGTAAACTCACTACTGTTGCGGATCTTTTCTGTGCAAATATTGTATGTGTGTGTTGGGGGTGGGTGGGGTGGGGGTGGTAGTATTGTAAGAATGTGTATAAGCGACGTCAGTTCATGGGTTAACACTTTAAAATGTATGTGTACGTGTGTGTGAGTATCTGGTGTGTGTTTGTGTGCTGACCTGGTCCTGTTTGAAGTCACACAGGGCCTGTACTATAACAGCACTGCTGCTCTTTTCTTCAGGGTTACGTGGTCTCAGCCTCACGATGCTCTTGGACTTATTCACCAGGTGCTTCACCTGCCTCTTATTCTCCATGACCCTCTCCTTCTCTCTCTGCATGGGGACACACAAACACACAGGTCATATAAAGGTCACAGAAAAGGGACGTTGTCACATCTCCTCCCATTGCTCCCCTCCGGCGCTCTGATTCGCCGGTCTACTGAGCCACCGGTCTGAGCGCACCACCTCGGCAACATCGGAATGGAAACCCAACGCACCCTAATCACCTCCAGCGCACCTGCACCTCATCATCTCATCACCACCCCTATTTAGCCCTGGACTGTTCAGTGTTGTGTGATTGTTAGTGTCATGTCGTGTACTCGCTCTTTGTTGTTCTCTTGCTCAGTGTTAAGTAAACCTTTACATTGTTGATTCCTGCTTCTACGTCCTGCCTCTTCGTATCCTCAGTACTCGTCACAGATGTGTCCTACACTTATCCCTGAAGAATATGGTACCACTATTTTAAATAACTTTAACCATCCTAAACAGTTGTTATATACCCTATGTAATTTGCATTATCTTGTGCACATTTCAATTTCTAAATCATGCCATGCAAATAAGTGAGGGAAGGAGTTATCCTCAATAATGAGTAGCAAGGAGGGCAAAGAGGGGTATCTGCAAAAATGCTTGCTAATATGCATCATACTCATATCAACTATTTGTTGATAATATGATAGTTGTGGGAGAGATCCTATATGGAAACATTCTCAGGTGTCATTCAGTGTTAGGTACCTCAAGGTTCTTCAGGAGCTCAGTGAGGTTCTCCAGAGGTGTTCCTTTATCACAGGTAAACTTCTTACGGATGTTCTCATGGTCCTTCTGCAGCTTGCTGTAGGTCTCATTGGCCTCCTTGAAGAACTGCAGTAGAGAGGGAAGTTTAATAGAACATGAGATACAGATACTGTGAGCTGTGTGTGTGTGTGTGTGTGTGTCTATGCACACGTTTGTGTGTCAGCGGGTGTGTGCACCATTCTGTGTGTTTACTTGGCTGTAGGCAGCGTTCTCCTTCAGGTGGACATGAATACACTTGGTGATCTGGAGCAGCCAGCTCCACTGGGTCTGCAGAGTGTCCATGTAGGCCTGGGGAACAAACACCAGTTAGTTAGCAGCAACTTCATGAATATTGTAGAACAAACTCATGTTACCACTTCACTACTTAAAGGGGAGCTAAGCGTACGTTTACAAAATTCCAGTAACTTTCCCAACATTTTCCTAAAGTTAATGGAATTCTGCAAACCTAGCTAAGGGTACAGTGACTCTCACCTCTATCTTGTCTGAAGCTGGGTGATTGTTCTTCAGGAGACCATCCACTTTCTGCTTCAGTTTGTTCAGCTCCTTCTCTTTCTCCTCCAGGGCACTCATCAGTTTCTGGGAGGGAGAGACAGACTGTGAGTAAACATACAAAAGGGCTACTACAGTATAGGTATGCATCCCAGATGGCCCTTATTCTCTATACAGTGCACTAAAAGGAGTGCACTAAATAGGGTATAGGGTGACATTTGGGTCGCAGACTAGGAGGCTTATCTCCTCATGGTTACCAGTGCGCAGACCTTGATATTCTGCTACTTCATGTTCATTCGTAAATAGCAGAGTGAAAACAAGACTTTGGAAGTGCGATAACACAAGACTACAGTAGTGAGTCCACTGAATAGATACATATCATGTCAGCATTGTAAGGCCTTACGGAGTAGCTCTCCTGTTTCTTGGGGATGTAGACGTCAATGTTCTTGTCTCCCCAGTCGAACACCAGCTCCTCCTCCTCCCTCTCGTTGACCCACATGATGGCCCTGGAGATCTCCTCAAGGATGTTCTGCAGCTCTCTCAGCTGGCCCGTACGAGCAAACGACATTTTCTGACAGAGGAGAAGATTAACCAAGATGAGCACAATGAGGCTAGTGAATACAACTATGAAGAAAGGAATGATCAAATAACTTTATTTTGTTAAATTGTTGTTAATATGGACTCATACCTGCAGACTGTCCCATTCTTGCTGCAGGGAATGGAGGCCACCCTTGTCATCCTTTTGGGCCTGAGTAAAGACACACAGACGATTAGTAGGACCAGACGTTTTTCACGACTATGTTACCTGACCAAGGAGCACTTGTTATAGTCAACACTATAGTACGTACCAGTTCATCCCTGGCGCGATCCACCTCTTGGCTCCTCTGTATAGAGCTGTGGAACTTCTTCTGGTTGAGGATCTGTTGCTCGATGGTGGCCGCGTCCTCACCCCACGGAGACGTCTCGATCAGACGCTGCAGACAGATATACAGGAGATACAGCTTACTCTATTTTCTCAACAACACTGAGTCTAAGAAAAATCATGGCACCAACATGTATGAAGTTTTGCTAGTATTTACTCAATAATAGCTTAATTACATTAGTATTACTGAATAACAACCTCTCTGCTTCAGGATTCATAAAAATAAGTATCATTTGGTGTCATGTAGTAAGCAATTCTATTGAGTATTTTCTGGTTAACACCAGTTCCATACCAGCTGTAGGACAGTGATAAAGTGCTAGCGAAACCAATGATCTGTTTGTGTGGAAGGCTGAACAAATGTGTCCTTCCTAAGTCTATTCTCTAGATGGCAGTAAATAACCGTTAACTGATCAGCGTGTCTGTCATCAGCAGGAAACTATTCCAACTATTCCCCCTGTAGAGTTCACTCCAATCCACTCAGCTTTGATAAGAAAAAGGGGCGAGTTCTGCTCAGTAGAAACTGGCTGGGGGTGGGTGGGTGGGTGGCCAACCACCTTGACCCCAGCCACCCAACCAACCAACTCCACCCCAGCCAGTTTCTACTGCGCTTCACACACCCCTTTTCTTCTCTTCTTTCTTTGATTTTCTTTCCCCACCTTTCTTTCATACATTTATGGCTGTAAGTTGTAGAAACACAAATGTGTGTTTGATGAGCGAGACTGTCGGAGTTAATAGACTTTGACCTCACTTTTGAGAGAGAGAGGAGAGAGAGAGGAGAGATAGAGAGAGAGAAGAAGAGGATAGAGAGATAGCTACAAAAGAGAGAGGCAGAGAGCTATGAGATAGAGCTGAGCTGCGCAGAGACTATATACGCTATCTCTCGATACTATGACTACCTATAGAGCGGTTCGCTCTCTCGCTCTCTCTCTCTCTCTGCTCTCTCCTCTCTCTCTCTCTCTCTCTCTCTCTCTCTCGTCTCTCTCTCTCTCGGCTGCTCTCTCTCTCTCTCTCTCTCTCTCTCTCTCTCTGCCTCTCTTACCTCTCCTATCTCTCTTTTCCCTTCCCTTTATTCTCTCCCTTTCTCACAGCCTAGAATAAGTTTACTGCTCTCGCTTGCAGTGACAAGCGAAGGGTACAGAGAGAGGGGCAACAACTCTGTTCGGATAGGTAACAGGACGACTCGTAAGACCTCTCTGTTCGAGACAGTTATTGCCGGACAGTGAGGTTGCATAGAGCTGCAGCTGAATCCTTCGGTTGGGAGTGCGACCGCGCATGCTTGAGGTGGCTGGTGGTGAGTGAGCTTAGTTGTTTGGAAGCTCAGGTCGGTTCGAGGGTGTTGTTTTCATAGCGATGCACAGTGAACTCAGGTCATGTGGGCCGTCCATAGATTCGATGATGTTGGTCGGGTGAGTTGTAGAGTTTCATCCCTCCTCCTCCTTCGTTTTCGGGCTGGTTTTAGATCTTTGGTCTGCGTGTTCTATGCGTCATGCTCTCTCTGTTCCTTCCTTTGTCTTCCCTCGTTCTTCAGGGCCTAGTGTGATCTCCCTCTCATCTCTTTTCTGAGCGTTCATGTTTTGGCATTGTGGTGGTTTGTGTTCCAGCAGGTCAGATTCTGCGATAAGATGCGTGTCATGCTCCAACTTCCCATCACACACACACTCTCTCACACAATTTCCTACTGCTCTATACCGGTTTAAAGCTTGGAGATGAGGATGGTATATTGTCTAGGGGGTGAGTTCCAGAGTGATGAAGTCATCAATTGCACCCTATACAATCACCTTGAGGGGGAATCGCTAAATAAATTATGCTGGTTTTATAATACCTTCTGTTGGCCGATCCAGGAAATGGCATCAGTGTAGGTCCTCCCTCTCTCCTCCCAGCCAATGCTGCCTTTGTTCTGTCTCTGGGTCGTCCCACTGAAGGAGGAGATGATCCCACTCTGCATGTTCTGGAGCTGCTGTATGCTGTAGGGAGGGAGAGACAGGAAGTGTCAGACATGAAAGATAAGAGGAGATTTGTCCCATCTGTTTTTAAGCACAAATGTAAAAGAAAACAAATATGCAAATACATTTATCAAATACACACAAACACACACTCTTTCTTTCTTTCACACACACAAACACAGATGCATTCTTTCACTCCCTCTCTATCTCTCTCTCACACAGACAGCTGTCCTTGCCTCCTGATGATGATATCATTGGGTTGTCTCATTTGCTGCAGCTCTATGGCACATCCATTCAGCTGGTCTATATTCTCAGCGGACATAGTCATCAGCTTGTCCACCTCCACTGCTGGACCACCCTGGGGGAGGACAATCATATGGTCAGTACAACAATACACACACACACAACCCAGTACTGTCAACATACTCACACTGTCCACAAGACTGCCCAGTAAGCTACTACAGATCCACTACCTTATTTGACCAGTTTCTCACAGCAGGAAAATAATCCTACAGCAACAGGAAATGTGAAATATTATGTGAATCCTGCTGTGCAGGAAAATTATGTGACAACTAAGTGATCAAATTAAGATAGCAGGTCTGTAATAATGGCCCATTCATGAAGAAAAAGGCAAAGAGCTCTTTTCAATTTAGTAATTCTAGTGAGATATTGGGATGCGTGAGATATTATCAGTCCAGCTGATGACCACAGCTGCTACCGATGTTGCATCAACACAGATAAACCTGTTTCTGTTTACATAGAAACATCCCAGACTTCAATGTAAAAAATATGGCTTCATATTTGTAAGTGAAAGATCAGTTATAACGCTGAAGCTAAACCAATTTAAATTCTGCTCTTCCACAACCAAATATGGTCTTGTGTCAGTGTATGTGTAAGTGCAGGCATGCGTGCATAAGTGTGATTTCATCCATAACTATGCTTTGACCTATGTAGAGCACTTACTGCCTGGAGAATCTGCTGTGCTCTCTGCAGGTACTCCTGACACTGGCCTTGCAGGAAGGAAGCTTTGTTTTGGATGAGCTGCACACTAAACATTACAAAACAAGGAACACACCATCAAAATGTGTTATATTGTAACACACAGCATCCATTATAATAACTTTCGTAATCTGCATTATACTAATATGAACAATATTAACAAGGTAGTTGACATCATTTGATGACATCACTTCTTGAGCAATAGCTGGGGGAGGATCGAGTTAAAAGTGTGTGTGGTGTGTTGAACATTTCCAACACATTTCAGCTCTTGAACACAGCTCAATGGATCTTAATGTATTGGCTCTGACCCAGAATATGTGTTGAGTTGAATAATGTCTGTGATTGTATTCTAGATAATGTAACCTAGGCTATTGAAACCCTATAGAATAAGGGAATTGACCACTATTGTGTGACTGTAGTTTTATCATCTAAACATAACGTAAAACAGCACTTTATAAGTGTAAAATGCTATGGATATATCATACATTTGATTCCTCAAATCAACGACCATTGATTTCAATGTATTTAAATGTGTAATTAAATGTAATGATAATTAATAAAGCTTTTAAATAAACAGTGAATTTTCTGGGTATTTAATGATCTAATTATATAATTAAAAGATATGCTGATACAATAGACTATTATTATGTATTTGACAAAACAGAGTTTCATTCATTTTCATTGTGCATATCTTTAATGAATGGTCTATTCAACACTTATCTAAAACAGTCCAGGTTTATATTTACACTAGAGCTTGGGACTATAAGGTTCTATCTGCAAAAAGATGATTCTGAGATAATTGGCATTAAAGTTCCAAACCCTATAGGTTGAATGGTGTCAATTGTTAAAAGTAGTCCTTGTTCATAGAATTGTATGGTTAGTTAAACTTTGAAATCAATGTTTTTTTTTTGGTATACATTTTAAAGTGAAAAATCAGCATTATGTCAGCATAATTACATTACCATGGAATTACCATGGAATTGCCCCCTGTGCTTTATTTAGGCTAACTGTAATTCTGCATGTAAGGTACACATTACATACCTTGCTCCCCCTCCGTAGCCCGCTCCACCTCCCCCTCCGTAGCCCCCTCCACCTCCCCCTCCGTAGGCCCCTCCACCTCCACCACCTCCCCCTCCCCCCATGGAAGATTTGGAGAAAGTTTGTGAATAGATGTATCCATCTCCATATTCTTGTTGATAGCCGTTTCCACCGACGAAGACCTGGTTGCTGTCATTCCTGGGAATGGTGAAACTGCCGCTCGTCAGGTCTGGTCGAGAATTAGTCCTCCGACTCATGGTCGGAAGTCTACTTTGAGAGCCGTGCATACTCATTTCCAGTCCTGTTTATGATTTGCAATTCTGTTAAAAAAAGGTAAATGGTATTGGAAGAAGTGTAGTCCTTAACGTCAATGGAGCTCGTCCCTGCGCGCAACCTCGACGACGTCTCCTGTAACGCAGATATTGTACTACTGAGAACACGGAAGAGTGTCGTTTTTGGACGGAGACCACACCTAGCGGTGTCTCAAACGAAGACAGACAGTAGGCTGCCGTAACGCCCCTTGTTACTTTTCGTCAGTGGACTATATTTCTGATTGGAGGTAACTTTCTCCTGCTGGGAATAGGCCGGAGAGCTGTGCAAAGAATGAAATAATTTGAGGTCGGGAAGGTCGAATGAGGATAATAACAGTCCTCACTCGACCTTCCGTACATCAAGAATATTGTGAAGCGCGTTATTATCCTCACTCGACCTTCCCGACCTCAATAATCCTGTGAAGAGCGTGACAAATTATTTCATTCTCATGGTTTCCTCTTTTTCAAACGAATTGCTTAAATGGATAATAAGGGCTTAAAGGCTACTGTGAAATTGTTGGGACAATATTGTTCTCTGTTTGCAACATTAGAAAGCTAAATATGAAAATATGGGAAATAATGGTTTTATTAGTTTAATCAATTCGATTTAGACATAGTGTGCAGGAGATGCATGTTTATGAGCAAGCGGCTATTAAAGGGAAATAAGAAGAGAGAAATGGAGGAGGTACACACCCAGTCTGAGTCAGAGTTTAAGCTCTGCTCCAGTATGGGAGACTTGAACACCTAGGTGTGTGCATGCATGCATGAGTGAGAGTGAGAGAGGGAGAGAAAGAGAGGGAGAGAGAGAGAGAGAGAAAGGGAGAGTATAGTGGCCTTTGGCCCTTTGGGCAGACAATGAATGAGCATCAACATAGAATCAAAGACAGTAACTCCACACAAGTGAATAGATTGTGCTATGCTGGAACAATTGAAGTTGATCTGAAGTTTGTTACAATACCATCCAAACATTTATTGCTGCTGTATGAGCAGCCATGATACCATCAACATTACGACACTCACATTCTCAACATTATGACCATTCCATCTTAAACTTACAAATAGTGGCCAGACATTAACCTTATTTTTGTCCTAAAGATAAAACAACAGAGTCATGTGTCTCTTTTTAAACAATGGGTCAGAAAGAGTGGACATTCCAGATTGATATGTTCTGCCCTCTGGTGTTTAAATCCTGGCTGTGTTGATTCCTAATGGACTTACTGCACTCTCTCTGGTGTGTGTTTGTGTGGTCCTATTTTTGTATCATGAGCTATATCTTTGATATGTAGGGAGCAGCAGAATCCACTATTAGGATCTCTTATAGAACATTCCAATGTTTATGGTTTTCTCTCCTCAAGCACCAGTGATTTGCATGTGCATATACCTCTCAGAGGTGTTTAAGAATGTCCTCCTAGGGCTAGGCTATTGATATAAGGTAATGAGATGTTTATAACCAATACTGGAACACATGCATTCTCTGCTATGGGTATGGAGGGGTGTAGACACTTCACAGTTTAATTTTGATTGAAACATGGACAGTAACGTTTCTATTTGGCAATGTACAGTATTTCACGCAGCACTTGTACCAAACAGTTCTACCCCATTCTTCTCTACTATATGCACAACCAGAACCAGGCCATTGTTCTTGTCTTGAAGGGGCAAAACACACAGACACACCCAAGGGACACGTTGTTTTTTTCAGCAGCAATGGAGTGATCATGTTTGCTTTTCTCCTTTCTTTCTCGCCTTAGATGTGTAATAATCCCTACTGCACCAGCAACAAACCCCAGAGCGAGACTGAACATGCCAGTGTCACAAACATTGTGTGTATAGTGTAAGTTAACTGTTCTGAACACAGGGCAGGGCACCACTTGACTATCATCACCTAACAGAGACTGCAGCTGAGGCAGGATGAGACTTGTGTCACTCTGACTAACTCCCTCTAACAGAATGGGGTTGGCATCATCAGGTAGTTAACAGAAATATGACAATTAGTTACAATTATCATGTCCATGCCTCATTTTTGTATGTGTTGTTAATGTCTAATTCTATAGTATGGAAAGTTGGAAAGTGTGAGTGTAGAGGGATTCAGAGGCATAGTCAGAGTTTATGAATCTCTTACAGACTCACTCAGCCGTGACTAAACAGTACAGTTGGTGTGACACAGGGTTGGGCCTTCATGTCCGCTCCCTCCCTCACCCACCTCTCTCGTTGTCATCAAGGGGGGTGTCTATTTTATTACCCTGTCTTACCTCTAACCCTCTCTCAATCTCCTCTTACCTCTTGTAGTCCAGTGCATAGGTGAAATAATTACGCATTTTATGATCAAATGAACTTGGTACACTAATACTAGATACCTTAAGGAACATTTTATAGATTGGAGGCTGTCTGAGAAGCCTTTCAGTCAACCAGGGTGGCCATTTTAATAAACAGGCTGCCATTTGGATTTCCTGTTAGAAGAAAATAGTTTAAAATCATTCCAAACAATATCAAAATGACTTTGTAATGTTATCTACCCACTAAATAAACCCCACAGATAACAATTAGGGTTAGGGGTTAGGTTTAGTAATTAGGAAAATAGGATTTTGAATTGAAATACATTTTAGGTCCCCACAAGGATAGTAAAACATATTCTGTTTGTGTGTGTGTGTGTGTGTGTGTGTGTGTGTGTGTGTGTGTGTGTGTGTGTGTGTGTGTGAGCGAGAGAGAGAGAACATTCTACACAGCAGTGAATATGGATTGACAGCACTGTGTGAGCCTGAGGCAAACCTCCAATGCTTTCCAGCCAAGGATTAATCACCAGCCTAGCTAGTGAGTGTAGCCAGTTTCCAACACACACAGGTCAACTCATGCACCTACTGGGCGGCTCCCTGCCACACCTGAAATTGTTGCCATGGTGACAAACAAGCAGGTTTGAATGATTATATCAGCATAGTGAGTGTTGCTATGTGAGGGCAGGTCAGGTTTCTATTGGCAGACACCCATGTGACAGGCTACATTGACAGGACCAGGTTTTGTCTATGTCTTCGATCTTTGTATCAGTAGGAGCCGCATAATAATTCTCATCCCACGGTTGACAGTAGTGTTGTTGTTCAGGTCTGCCAGTGGAGGTCAGCAGTGTATCAGTTAACACAATACTGCAGGCTAGAACACTGTCTGTAGGCCTTCAGTAAGTGGCGATGTCCTAGGAGCTTGGAGAGAGTTGGAGTTGTGGCAGACTGGTACCAAATGGAGCCTAGTGGTGTTTATTTATTTGTTTGAATCTCAAACAAAGAAATAAGTAACTGGGTTATGTGTAATTTGCATTCACTATCTACATTTAAAGTAAATACCTTGTAATCTATGTACTGAAAAATAATGTGGTACCAAAATAATCATGGAAAAGCATCACATTTTGGGGACAGTTCCACCACCAACAAAACCTCTACCTGACAATAGTAGGCCTACGAATTACGTTCAAACTTTTTGTGTAAACTATAAAATGACAATGCTGTAGTGACACACTGTAACCATCAGAGAGTGGCATTGGCACTAAATCAAAAGAGAAGGGAGGTGAAAGTGGTGAAACATTAAAGGGCGACTGCACTTCCTGATTTGGCCTAGTTTTATATTTGCCCTTACTGCAGTCTTTGGCCAATTTGCGTCAAGCTCATATTTTCACATGCAAATTAGTTTTGTGGCAAACTTGCGGCGACTTGTGAACTTCTGGGAAATCATTCTGGGAAAGTTATGGCGATCATTCTACTGTTTGCTACAAACTCATGACTATGCCAATTAGATCAGCTTTTTGGTTACTTTGTGTATTAACATTGAAATGTCGTATTTATACATAAACCAAATCACATCACTTTAAATGCTTCTCACAGAGAAAACTAAACTAAATGTACTAAATATACTAAACAATGTGTATTCAATGTCTTAGCAGATAAAAATAAATCCAATACAACTTGAAATCAGCATGCTAATGAAGAAAAGAGCAAAGACTGAGTATTTCCCAAATAAATTGTTTATTTAATATCTTCATGTAAATACAACATTTACATGAGAGACATGTGAACACTATGGGGATGTTTACCTTATGTTTAAAGTGGCAACTACATAATTTGGAGCCAAGTGATAACTGATCAATGAGCTTTGAACCAATGGATGTTTAAAAGAGAATGAACAAAATTGAAATAATTAAAACAACAAAAGCAAAATCAAACCCAGTTCAGAACTATTGCCTTTTTGAGTGAACTTTGGCGATGGCAGCCCTGTGGAAGTCCTTCGTCCAAAGCTTGTTAAATGCACGCACTGAAACATTAAGAAAACACAAAACAAAAATATTAGGATACTGAAAATAATTACTGAAAACATTTTCTATGTTGGCATCTTAAAAGGTAGACACAGGGCTAATGGGCTGGTTTGTCTTTGGAAAAACGGTGTCAGCTGTTACAAAGTGACCTTGGTGTTGCTATGTTTCGAACTGAAACTGACATTCTATTTATTTTCAGCAAGGAAACAATGTTTCTGCCTTGTATAAATGCTTTATAAACAAACAATGTAGCCAGCATAAACTGGGACTAAGGCCTACTAAATCTACCTTTAAATGTGTGGTCAACTGTTTCTAGAGAGCCACAGTATACAAGGTTTTTCTCCAGCCAAGCATCAACACAGTTTATTAAAACAAATTAACTATGATCTTCAATCTAGACTGGGGTCTTCATAATTAAGAGCAAGTTCTACTAGTTGTCTCTTCTTCCTGACTCAGGTGTATAAGGCTTGGCTGGAAAAAAAAAAGCTACATCATATTGAGTTATGCCTAATATGGCAATTCATAATATTTTCCCAAAATGAATGATTGTTAACTGGCATCACAAAGCCATTCATACAAAAAGCCTTGACCTGGTGCACATTTCTCTGTCCTCAGTTTGACTGAAGGCCTCAATCTGTATTTTTTCCTTGTAACTAATTCTTCTAGAAAGAGAACAACACATTCT